TCGCGCTTGTTTCGCGTTTGAATGATCCAGCGTCTTTGAAAATGTCGCGCGTTCCTCGAATCGAACCTGGTGATTTCTCGTGAAACCGCGAGTCACGGAGACGATCGTACGCGCGACGATCGAGTAATTATTTTTTATCTGCGTTGGTGCTTCTCAAAGGAACAACTCATGTGTACGAGTACTGGAAGGAGGTGGAACAGAACGAAGACCGAAGGTGGATGAGAGATAACTCACAGAGGATAAATAGTAAAACCGGAGTGAAAGAGAAACTACGTGGTCGAACGTCGCACTGCATTGGCGTACTGTGCTGGAATCGCGCCGACGTTGATCGCCTAGCGAACGTCAAAATCTATGGAACATAAAGCGCGCAACGAACGACGTTCGACGAACGATCTCGTCGCTTAATTTCGAACGTCGATTTACCATCGATAACGGCAATAACACGACTCCGGATAACTGTCGGTCGGTCGTCGCCCATCGAAACGAAGTGTTTCGGATGTGACATAATCGACCGGTAGAGACTTATCGTCGGAATAAACCGAGATGGAACGAACGTAGAAACAGAGATAACCGAGATTGTCGTTATCGGAAACGACCTCGATTACGGTGCGTATCGGATAAAACAGAAGCATGTTCGTGGTACGGTGAGACGACGGTAGCCGCTCGTAGAGAAGGGCCGTTGCAGTGGAAGAGATCGCAGATAAAATGCACTTGGCAGCGACGCAGAGACCTCACCCACCACCGGTACCACCACGGCCGAGTCGGCAGGTGGTCGCCGAAGCCCTTAAAAGATCACCAAGGCCACCCTGTCCGACCAGGCAGGCCCCACCACCGCCCAACACGAAACCGTGGAGATCCGATCGAGACCGATCGAACAATCGGCAACAGGTGGTGAGTCCGGTCGCTGGTCGCACGGTCGTTTACGAGTCGATCAAAGACTCGATTCCGAAAGAAACCGGCAGCGAAGGCGGTGATCACGACGATCCGGTTCGGCACGTCGTCGACAAGGGTCCCGGCGATGGCGGCAACG